GCCGAGGAGATGGGGGTGGCTCCCCTGTAACCTCTACCGCTGTATCTGTTCTCAAAGCCAAAATAGAAATCACGTGTAGTTCCTCGAGTGGCCGCTGCGGGAGAAATGGTGGCGTTGTGTTCGTCATTAGCTCGGTGCTCGGAGACAGATTGGGGCAACTTTTTGAAAGCTGTCTCTATGGGAGTTTCCCAACTGAGTATTTTAGTAACGTTGGCTGACGCAAACGCATAGTGCTTGCATTCGAACCTGTACGCAGTATCACAACTATTGCCTGAGCACTACTGCTAAGTGGGTTTACAAGGCAGCTTTTTAAGCCACCTAATGAAACTTGGCCCACTTTTTTTAACCGTGATTATACTACATCACTCGACATCGCTCAACTGTAAAGCCGCAGTAACACTGCTTATAATTCATAAAGAAGGCGCGATGTTTACTGGAAACATGATGACCGAATTATCTTGCGGACACGTCTCAAGTATGTTCGAAGCACGTTTCCTTCCTAGAGATTTGTACGATGCGAAAATTTCTGCATATAGTTACTCTATGACCAACGTGACACAACGGTCATGTAATGAAGAAGAACGGCTCAGGCAGTGTATAATATGCATACTGTTTTTTTGTTTTTTTTTCTAATATGTCTTAGTTGTGCGACCTCGGCTTCAGGTTGTTACGATCACGGCATGCCACGAATAATCAGTTGAACGAAAGTGTCGCCTTACCATAGTGGAATGCAGAACCGGGTACGTCAGCTCACAACCTTCCACAGTCCGTAACGTCGACGACGAGCCTGAGCTGGCTAGGCTGTTGAAGCGGGGATGGAAGGGCGAAGCCGGATCTGACGAAGAAGATGACCCTTGATGCGCCAGGAGACTCGTCTGGGAAACGTCCTCGTGACCGCAATACCTACGAGGCCCCCACGACCTGCGGCGGTGGTCCGCTCTACTACACTTGCAATGGCAACGGTCGCAATGTCTCCGGCACATTCTGTGCCGACGCCGCAGCCTCCGTTGGTGACGTGTCTTCTGGTAAGCGCAGACACTAAGTACGAGGCAGAGGAAAACCAGCGAGACCGCTAGAACGGCCAAGATGTAAATCAAAGTGGTTTCCCTGGCTTCACAAGACCCGTCGTTTGTCGCAGCTGTGGTGTCAGGGCGCTGGGCACGGCTCATCGCACTCTTCGGGTTCCTTCACAGCCGGGAGCATAGCTTCGTAGATTAAGTCGGTTGGCGGTTTTTTTTTTTTTCTTCGTCATACGTAAAGCGTCGAGAGGGTGGCTCGGGTCGCATGGGAAGACTGCTTTCATCATCTTCGTGCGTGACCCTACAATGAGGGCGAATCTTCGGCTGTCAGGCGATGCGTGGTGTTGGGAAGAAATAATCAGAATTTAAGATAAGGCTTCTGCCTCCCGTTCGCGCTAGTAAAGTTGACTGATAATAAAAAAATAAAAATAAATAATAATAACGCAAGGAGTATTTGTATCATTTGATATGTTGGATGACATCGCAACGTTTATAGTGTTTTACTACGTAAACTTTTCAGTAAAGGCCATTCAGAAAGACGCGTTGTCTATACGTTCGATCATACACGTTGTGTGTGTGTGTGTGTGGGGGGGGGGGTTAGGTCGAGATACGGCTTCGATTTACCACGACAGCCAAGGGGCGCAACAATTGTCCTTTACTAATTCGAAGTACTATCACTTTTCGGTTTCGAGTACTTAAACTTTTTGGTTTTGAAAAGTTTCAAGTGCCTCTGCACCAATACTATGTATCGCGAAGAAAAAAAAAAAGAAAAAAAGGAGGCTACCTTTTCTACTTTACGTGATAAGTGATAAGTATTGTCACGCTTCATCGGCCGTCTTCCACCGTCTCCGCATATACTCGTATACTAAGTAGAGCCACTACCACAACGTGGGCACTACGCAAGCCACACTTCAAGTTTGGCACCCTGATTTTTCGCGACAGTGCAATACAATATCACTTGAGGTTTTTGAGACCGTATCTAGAGGTCAGGAAGTAACGTTTTGGAACCGTAATGATCGCCAACTGCGCTCGCTTTACAAAGTGTCGTCACCCGGAAGACTCAAAGAAACGCAATTCCCATTATTTAAAGAGAAGACGGTGGTCGATACAGACACATGCCCGGCGTAACAGCCGACGCGGCGCACGAATTAGTCTACGGTAAATTATGTGAGATCATGAGCGTCGAATCCTCTATTTGCTACTCGCAATCTCGGACTTTCGGTTTTGTTGTATAGGGAGTATTCACTGGCGGCCATATCTGTGTCCGCTGCTGCTGAGCGCGTGCTGACGGCGAGCTTCCGCAGTCCTTTTGGAGCCTGCATTTAGCACCATCAAGGTTGCCGGTCTTAGCAGGCTATTAATGTGAGCTCGTTCTGAGCATGCGCTCTAAACATCGCCCTCAAATATGGCGTCCAGTGAAACCTCCTATAGGGAGTATTCACTGGACGCCATATTTGGGGGGGCTGTTTAGAGCGCATGCTCAGAACGAGCTCACATATAGAGGCTGCTAAGACAGGCACTCTTGATGCTGCGGAATGCACGTTGCAAAAGAACTGTGGAAGCTCGTCGTCAGCACGCGCTCAGCATTTGCGCACACAGCTATGGCCGCCAGTGAATACTCCCTATAGACGCTTTGCAGCAGCTGTGCATGGACGCCGCCATAACTGACCTTCAGTTTTTGTTTCCTCTTATTTCGTTTATTTCACTTCATCAGTACCATAGCAGGCCAGGTTACTGCCACATTAGATTCAACTGTGTCCTTTTCTAAAGCATCGGCCTTCGTAGAGGATCGTCAGCTTCCGTTTCAGTTGCTCGGCATCTCGGTAAGACAAGAGAAGGTCAGCAATGGCGGCTTTAATTTGGCGCGTGTGTAAAGCGTCTATAGACAATTGCAAGCATGGCGCCCCTACTGGTGCCCCATGCGTGCAATCACGTGCAGCTTGCGCGTTAACATAGGGTTGGCAAGCTTACAATTGCACGAACTTGTCCTCACAAGCAGGGACATGGCGGCGGCCAGTCGCCTTGTCTGCAATCGTCTTTGAACACTGTACGTGTATGTGTTTGCGACCTGAATTTGATTTCCGGTTATCACGCCCTTAGCACTAAACAAAATGAAAGTTGCGTAAACAGTTAAGAGTTCAGCTTGTTGGTACATACTTATAAGTATATCAGCTTGAACTTTAGAAATAACTAGAACAGAAAGAAAGAGACAGGATATGACACACAGCTGCATGTCATATCCTGTCCTTTCTTTCTTTCTGTTCAAGTTATTTCTAAACTTCAGGCTGATATATTTGCATAAACAGGTGATATGAAGAAGAACGTCATCAAGAGTCTACTTTGTTTGTTCGGAACTGTCCGTATCTCTGAGGACCTTGCTGAGTGCTCGAAATCCGAGGTTCCCGGTGCGGCCGGAGGTGAACTCCTAAAATAAGGCTGTTTGTCCTATATGTATTTTACTACAACCTTAAATGGCATAGGAAGGAAAAACAACGATTTGTTCATATACATAAGGCCCACTCACACAGTATTGGCGACGTGCATCGCTGAAGGTCTTCGCGTCGCTGTAATCGGCCTTCCACAATTGGCCGAATGCTGACTGACGTCAGCAAAAGATTTCACATGGACGAAAATAAGAGTATTGGAAGGACCTCGATTTCGATGATGTTGGCAGCGTTGGTTTCTAAGCGCAATGACTTCAAGCTTCCACCAGGCTCATAACAAACACCATCTAACTTGTTGTTCGAAAGGTAATGACGTCACGAAAGGGAATCATACGAGGGCGCCACCAAAACATTTCGCCGCCAATAGTGTTTGCTCAATTTTCTTCTTTATATTAAGATGTGACACAGTCCCGAGTCAGCGGAACATCCGTGCTACGGATGTCGCGTGCGGAACTACTCATTGATTTGGACGATCCGGTGACTCGCAGCCACAATGCCGCGTGCGCAGCCAGCCGAGTATAGGCATCACTTCGTAGTTGCGCCCCCACTGCAACGAAGTTTGTACGGTTCGTTTCTGCTGTTTCTACCGAGTCCTGCACCGTCGTATCGAAGCAGACATTCATCAACCATCACCGTTGGCAGCGAGGGGAGGACCTCCTTTGAGCAACGACGCAAGGCTCCAACGAAAGCGTGACAAGCTTTGTTGAAGACGTCCTGTGCCTGAATGCCCGTGCCAAAGGTAGCTGAGAAGAAACTTCGCGCCCTCATGCGTGGCGTGAATAGTGAAATGTTCGGAGGCCGAGTCGGCAATCCCCCGACGCCTGTCGATGGTCTTGTAAACGAACCTACCAATATCGAGCGTGCACTGACGGCCCGAGCAAGCCACTACCACCTACTCGCCGGTGCTCCTTCTGCTCCAACCGTCTAAGCTTCCTGTCTGTACCTGAACATATCCCGGTGTCGACAGCCTTCGGGGGACCATCCAGGATATTGTCCGGGAAGAGCTCCGCAATATCCAACCCGCTGCTGATTGCCCGTCCTCGCACCACACTCGCCGAGGTCGTTCGAGAGGAGGTTCCCTGAGCCTTCCAGAGGCTCCAGTCACCGTTGCAGCACCGGAATAGCCCGCCCTAATCTACACTGCAATGGTCCGACGACTTCCACCAACCCCGCGTTTGTGCATGGCGGCTCACCCGACGTGAACCAGTCCAAGTATCCCCAACGTCAGGGAGATCGGGCGCACGTCCGCCCGAAACAAGCTGTGCCAAGAAAGACCGCGAATTAATGTTCGCGTTTCCGACGACGAAAAAGAAATACGTCCGACTCCTGGTGCAAAGTAAACGGTTGCGCATGGACAGGTGTCCACTTTCAAAGAGTCGCTGATAGACCGACGGATTGGTTCTGTTCGAAGAGAAGACCTTCAACGAACTGGCCGGATCCTAAAAAAGTTAGGCGGAACAAAATAGAGAAAACTACAGCGTTGTCTGAAGGCACACATCGCATGCGTTTTTATATCCCTGGGAGGCAGACCAAGTTCTAGGCTGTATAAACATACACACAAACCAATTTTTTTTTTTTATTTATACCAAGAAACGTCGGCACAGGACTGCGATCAGTTTTCCGCGTACGGGAAGCAGAAGGGGTCTCCGCAGGCTCTCAGACAGCACACCCTCTGCGAGCCCGAGGTGCAGCGCAAGTCCTCGCACGTCTCGTTGCTCTGTCGGGGCTGGCAGCCCCCTTGTGGAGGTAGAAACTGGGGACAGGGCGAGCCGAAAGTGATGCCGTCGACGACACCTGCACGAAAGGAACTCAAAGTTAGTATGGGTGCATTCGGCCAAAGGCGTCCGCTTTTCAGGACGTGCAGCCCGTCAGCCAATTTTTCAGCTCGATTCGAATTCACGCTAGCTGCGTTTTTTTATCTACAGTTTTTGTCCGGTAATTCTTCAATAAAGACAAAGAAAATTGAATTTGGAGCGTCAGGTAGAAGCCGTACACATTACGAAAACAAACCGAATACCGTAACTGATACAAGTGCTACGTTACTAGAATTATTCAAAAGAAACGGGTCACCTCATGGGAAAGTAACGGGTCAGAATGCGACTCTGAATGTACTTTTTTTTTGAAGCAGTTACCGCTTCCAATACACGAGAATTTAAATTGTTAGTAGGGTTCAAAACAAGTGACAACTTAAACTGAGATTGGCAAGGTACAAATACAAGTTGGGGACAGCACAGAACGTATCAGATCAAAGCTACGCGTTTGTTCAAGAACGAACCCTTCTGGAGGGACAGAACACCTGAGTCAACGCCTGAACACCCCTTATACGGTTAAGCCTACATGGTTTTTCGTTCTTGTATGGGAACACGCAGTTAAAAACGAGCAGTTATCAAGCGCTCTCGACGGCTTTTCGCATACGGGTGTGTATAACATGAAAATAAACGCTCTCACCCTTGACACACCAAGTTCCGCCGCAGGGCTTGGGGCAGCACTCGAGGCCTCGGGTCTCGCACTCGCTCTTCGTGCAGGTAGAATACAGGCAATCGCTGACCACACCGCGGTTGCTCGGGCAGGCCGCCTGGACACACGCCAATGTTCCGACAAGGACGACCAAGCAGATCAGGAACAACGTGCGGAACTCCATGACAGCGTGATGATGGACAACTCCGATGATCTACTGCTGAGTGCGGTTCCGCTGCAGCAACTTATATATGCGATATGTGCCTTCATGTACGCACGCGCCCCGTCTCGTCTGCCTCCGTTCTGTCACGTGACAAGCCGCCGGTCGAGACGGGCGCGAGCGCGTGGCTTCCGGTCGCTGTGAAATACTTCGCGGTTTTTCCGCGAAGTGCAAAGCACGCGACAGACGCGAGAGGTGTCGTCGTTGCTTTCGCGTGTAATCCACAAGGGCGGTGAATCAAGTCACAGCTGACGGGGAAGGTCGCGATAAGCAGTTTCACGCGCCCCTGCTGATAATCTGGAAGTGGAGCAGCGGACGCGTCTTTTTCCATGTCTGCTTTGTCAAGTTTATTTGCCTCTATACTTTGTTTCAGCCTAAGTCCACATGCAGCCGACGCTACGAGCTAATGGAACCAATCAAACAGCGTCCAAAGCGAAAATCCCTTGGCCTTTCCTGTTGATGATGAGTTCAGCGATGATTTATATAATAATAATAATGACTTTATTTACCGTACAAGTATGGTGGGAGCTGAGGAAAAAAGCTGTGCAAGCAGCTGTGCAGCAGAACAAGTAACAAAAAATATGACGAACACCATGATGGTGCCCTTCTGACGCTGTCTGATTTGTCCCATCAGCTCCCATAGCGTCCCGCTAAACAAGACGTTCTTTACCTCTACAACCTGAAGCGATATTACTTCACGTTCTAAGCTATGAATTAGCGCCCCTCATTTTCACAACGCTACAGAAAATACCGAGTTTATGCCTAAAATGGCCTCAAACGTGTCGGACAGAAGAGGGATTAGTCCAAAACCCCCGTCGCCCTTTCAATATATTTTTGGATAAATACAGGTAGAGAATTCGGCCAACTTCTTCGTATCGTCTGAAACAAAAGGTCAAAATCACGGATTGGTGGAAGCAGTTTTAGCTACGTTTTGTCTAAATTTATTGTAAAATGCCAGCGTCCCCGCCTTCGTCGTTCTTTTTAATTATTCACTTGTAAGATTAAATATCGATAAAAATGAGCAGTACAAATTTTGTCCGGACTTCATTTAGGTGCGCGAACAATTTGCTATAAAATAATTCAAATGTAAAATAAGTAAGCAAACCTTGCATAACAAGAACGAAGTAAAATTGGTTAAACACTTTAAAATGCTGGAATCATTATAGAAAATAACGAGGAAATCATGGTAGAGTCTCGGCACCTCAGTCCTGTTTATCAGAAATGTCCGTGCCACGGATACTTTTCGAAGATTGTACGGATATTGCTCGTAGATAAGACTACACTATTAAAAAATCTGGCACTTCCTGTATACGTATTACTGAGTATGTCATCCGCTCTTGAAACGAAACGTCGGATTTTTTTGCATAACCAAAGTTAGTTGTTTATTTTCTTATGGCGTGTGCCGCATTTTGCATTATTTCCGCGAAGCTTTTGTGAAAGCATAATTTGTTCTAACTGTTTCACAAACAGCAAAATCTTTTTTTTTCTTCTTTTTAGCAAAGGTGAGGCTTAGCAGAAAGCAAAAACTTTAAGACGCTATTTATGCTCTATTTTATGAGAGCTGCAGGTTTGAGCGCGTGGCGAGCACTTGCGAAAATAAATCACCTCGTAATAAATGCGCCGTTGCACTCGCAGTTTTAAAGGGTTACGGAAACGAAAATTGAAAGATACAAATTTCGTTCGGAAATGAGTCAAGCATGAAGGATATAATAGCCGTAAATGATAATCGTGCGTTTGTATCTTGAACGCCTGGCTACATTTTTCGTTCAAATCCAACGCAAAAAAAAAGAAGAAAGAAAAATATTTACAGCATATGTGACCTAGCAAGGCTGGCGTGGCTGTTGTGGTGGCGTCAACGCGTTACAACCGAGCAGTGTTGGACAAAATACTCGATAAAAGTATTTAAGTTAAGTTACTAAATACCTGCTTCGTAAAGTATTTAAAATACTACTCAAGTTACTTGCACTGTTAAGTATCTTGAGTACAAATATTTTGAAATGTAATTCAATTACTGTTGAAGATACTTCCGCATTGCGTAATCTGTATCGATGTCAGTAACAACGACAATTATACAGCTGCGCAAATTTGGTTTACCACAATGGTTTATTAGCACGCAACAACATAAAGCGAAAACAAAAAAAGTATCGTAGAGCTATTTTATGCAGTCCAACTATAAGGAGCAGGATATTGTCACGAATGACCAATGATGAGGCGGCGAATAACCGAAGAAACTAAACGTTTAATGGGGTCAACTTGTGCCCAACACAATAGAGAAAGGCTAGCGTCGCAGGCGTCGATGTCAGCGAAACAACAGGATCGGGCCCTGGGGCAAGACTGACTCCGGACCGCCACACGGAGCACTTTTTGTGCCCGTGTGGGTTTCTGGAACATTCGGCGTAGAACGTTCGGCGCGTAGAACATTCGTAACTCGGTCAAACGACAAGGTTCTCGAACTTACGAGAATTCCAAGTTGAAAGAATAAATAAAAGAGGAGTCCCCTCCCTGGATTCGAACCCGGAGCTTCCGCGCGAGAGCCAAGCGGTGGTAACCATTCGGCCATGCACTTTTATTTTCTTATTTTTTTGTTATTTGGCCACGCGCTTGCTCGGCAACGCGCGTAGCAATGGGGAATCGTAGTCCACCGTTTCCGCAGCCCGCTAAGCACCCGGGTAGCGCTCCGTAATCCGCCACAAGACCTTGAATTATGCAGACAAGGCTGGCGGCGCGCATGTGCAGCTGCGGCGTTTTCTTTGCGGATACCGTAGCGGAGGAGAAAAACTGTCTACTACAATTGCCTAATATCACTGATACCTGTTGCAAAACATATCTGCGACAACAAGAAAGATGTCGCTTTAGCTGTTGGGGAGATCAGGCCGTGGCGCCCCAAGCCGTTAGCTTTATAACTACATGGATGGGGACAACGAATACAATGACTCATCACTCGGCTGACATAACCGAACGCGGCGTCAGCGTTCGGCTGGAGTTCATGTTCTCCGGTGAGGGGGAGGAGAGTCTCTTTTGTTACCACTCCAGCCTGCATGAACGATGCAGCATGCACGGTGCCCAGCTCAGCACAAAAGCCCTCAAACTCGCATCCTCTTACTACTGCTTTCGGGAAAGATCCGGCACTTAACGTCACTTCCTTTATTATTAGTATTTTTACATTACCACTGTGCCCCGCGCTCAATTAAAGGAGATAACATGAACATTCCCACAAGGCCTGTGGGCATGTGCACAGGCCTTGTGTTGGGTAAACACCGAGGTGGGGAGCAAGAAACGGGTCAGAGCGCCTCGCCAATAGTGACATCGCTGAACATCACATCCTGCGGCGCACCTTAAACGCATCGTTTAACTACAATCCACATTTCCGATATGGGGAGTTCACTATAAACAAACTTGAGATACGGATAGCAGGGCTGGGCAGAGATACTCCGACAAGTATTTGGGAATACAAATACTGAGATAGGTGTGTTTTAAGGCCCAAATACAGATACTGAGATACATTTTTGTCTTTTATGCAACGGGATATCCCTGAGATACTTCTGCAGAAACGGCGTAAAAGTATTTCAGAATACAGATACAGATACTTATAGAAATATATTTGTTCCCGAACGGTGCCACGTGGTGAGGGTGTAGTTCGTGGCGAATGTGAATGGTAATTTATGCTTGTACTCCTCTTCTTGTGCCATTTTATGCACTACCCTTTACCCGGCGAATTCTTTGTTTATCATTAACGCCGCTAAAAAAAACATGTCACCATTGTTGAACCACATCGTTACAGAACGTTAAAGACTGCTTACCATGCTTGACATGGTACGCAGTCTTTAACGCAGTCTGCCCGAAGTGAACCCCGTTTTTCCGTGTGGGCGCATAAAAAATAGTCGTCTTATATGCTTCTGAGTCACTTATAGTGTGGGGAGATTGTACAACAGGGCCGTACTTTTCTCCACTCAACTTCTTTACAGCGTTCGCTCTACTAAATCGGAAAGAGTGGAAGGCTTTGTGAGAGGAGCTGATTTTGTTATTCTTTTCCGTAACCTTTCTAAATCACAGTTTTTCTTTTTTGTTGGTGAATAAGATGGATCATGTTATAGGGCGGATTCATATTATAAATTCTGAAGCAACTCCCCCCCAAAAAATGTTTTTACTTTTTTTTTAATTTATCGCAAAAACGGCGACAGATGCAACGCGATACCTAAGTCAGGCAAAGTATCGCGATACGAGCGATACATTGTAAATGTATTTTACTATTGAGATACAAATCGAGATACATTAATCGAGATACATTTTATAAATGTATCTCGATACAGAGATAAAGATACTTGAAAGTATTTCTAAGATACTATCGCGATACATTTGTATCGTGACACTGCTTAGCCCTGGCGGGTAGGAGTGAATGGATCACAAAAAGACCCCACATAATAGCCACGGCAGTGGTCGCACCATCTTTAAGTAGGTTGCGTTCAGAAGGGCACTCAATGTTCGGGGACGCTTGGTTGGCATTTTTAGAGGTCATCCAGCTCCTAGTTCGCTTCCTGTCCTGTTCTCTGATTATCAATGTTCGCTAACAGACACTGTTCGCGAGAGCAATAAGTGACGGACTGACGACAAAAAGAAAAAAAACGAAAGAAAACCTCGACGCTTTGCCGTAGCAGAGTCAAATGTGCAAAAAGCAAAATATTTTTTGTGTGTGTGTCCACTTTATATATTTTTTCTTTATTTGTTAGTTTCTTGACACTCAAGTCTGCGTTGTTGTCGTAGGTCGTTTCCCGGTCTGCGTCGCGCCTCACTGTGGCTATCTTTACTTTTAGAAAACCACCCCTTTTGTTTGAGGATTTTTGGGGGAAACTCTAGGAAACAAAAGGCGCCGTTGGGAAGGCGAGGGGAAAACCTTGGTTGTACGAACTTTGGGCTGAAATAGGATTCACAAGGGCAAAAAAGCGATGTTTTCACGAGCTCAATCGAAGTCACCTTAGCTAATCGGAGCTAGCACCAGGATTTGATTGCTCGAAACAATGTTCACGTTTGCTCGTGCCACGCCCACGCCACTTCATACAAAAACACTCGGAAAATGGCGGACGGCAAAAATGCATTTGAGATAATGAGTACAAGATACTCAGAGATGTAACTAAGATAG